GGAGCGTGTTGGGCGAGACGGCAGGCTGCAGGAAGAGAGGAGACTTGAGTAGGAGGACTTTGGAACGGACACGTTGGGACCGGATCAGGAGTTCTGGCACTAGGAAAAGACGGATGAACAAGTTGAGGTGAGTTTGGGAGTCAGAGACACTAATCGGAGGCTGGCGTCCAGCTAATAGCGGGCGGGGGTCTGAACATACGCAGCTTCCTTGTGTTGGACATGATGAGCAACTGACACATTTTATGTGTCTCTTGATTTAATTGTTTTTAATTCAAACTAACAAGTACAGCAACGGGTGTAGCTATTCTTTTCTATTTCTTAGTTAAATTAGCAGACTCAATGCTTCCAGGGCACCCTGCTGCCCTCTGCTGGTTCTTTCAGGTTACAGTCATAGTCCAAACGGGTAACGTGGAGCTCGTATGTCCCTAAACAGCTACTGTATTTTAAGATGGTGGATGACCATGGAGCATCGACCACAGTTTATGTATTTAAAAATGTATAATTTCAAGTTGAGAGGAATATTTAGAATTGATGTTGGTGAGAAATATTAGTGACAAAGGACAAGTTTGTGAACTGAAAACCCAGGATTTGATAGTAAACTGGTAAAAGTATTACACACTGGGGCTTTAAGGTGAATATTCACCTCACATAAGAGTTTAAAGAGTCTCATTCACAAAGTGTTAAAACTTTTGTATCTGAAGAAGGCGTGGCTTTTTGAGGGATGTTGGTAAAGACTCAGAAACGTGTCAAATTCTGATTTGCCAAACTTGGCCAAAACGTATAACATGGTGGTTTATTAAAACAAGAATTACATCTCTATTAATTCAGTTTCCAGCTGACTCCTGATTCGGCCAAATCGGGAAGGAAGCCTCTTTTGAAGCAAACTCTTTTGACCCCCCAGTCAGAAGCATCTCTGCAACGCTGCAAGCTCATCCAGCCAAACAGCTCTCTTCAGAGTTACTTCAACTCTCAGACATCTACCTTGGACGCAAATAAGCCGTCCAGCTTCCTGCCTTCACCTGGAGGGACCTCAGACTGGACAGGTCCTATCGGATGTATCTACGGGTTCCTGATATCAGAGGTTCACTCCACCGGCAGTGACCCGCATGACCCCCCGGATCGAACGAGAACCTCAGGGTGCGTAGATTTGGCACAACAGATTGCGTCTGATGCTGTTTTTTTTAAATAAACAACTCTCTAGTTTCTAACCAAACAACAAATTCTTTTATACCCAGATTTCACAACTCCGATACAAAGAACGGTTGCTAAACATCTAGCTTCCATTACATCACCTCACATCCACCACACCACATCTCATTGTTCATATCTTGTCATCATTAGTTTAAGAAAATAACTATGTTCATTTTATAAACTATATGCTGACTCTGTCTGAATTAATACGAAGTGTGTTTATGGTCCCTAAAGAAGCAAAGAACCCTAGAATCTTCTGATTAAACATTCAAAGATCAATCAGATTGATATTTCATATTTATATGGAGTCATCACCTCTTATTGGTCATAAGTAACCTGTAGTGATCATGTCAGTCATTAATCACGCTACACAGTGCCTTCATTGGGCCAGAAAAGTCATAAACTGTTTTCAATAGTGCACCGGTTGTTGGAACCATGAACTGCACAAAAGCAGGCATATGTGTGTAATTAACGTTGACTCCGATGAGGTTTTTCAGAGTGAGGGACCCATCCAATATGGCGGCCAAGTGGTTACACTCCAGCACCCAATGTCACCTCGACATGTTTTGTTTTTGTTTCAACTTGTTCCCACGTCTTGTGGCCATTAGCTGTTTGTTTAATAAAAGTATTACATTCATAATGATTTCAAAGTAAAGTTTCTTCTAAAGTAGACCCACTTTTTATTCTGATCGCTGTTTGAATGTGGGACTACTTTGTTTTGAGCTTAATGAGACAGTAGTAAAGCGGTTCTCACGTGATTGTTTAGACTAATGCCGTGCTCGCATTTAGTCAACTGGAAGCCAACATAGCAGTGTACTCGGGGTCGGATAATAGCAGCGATCACCCCGGTTGTGACTCGACCCCAGATAAGTGCCCGAAAATTATTTTTATGGAAACATGTTTGATGTAATATGTCAGGGGACAAGTTTCTGTCAAAATATATTTAAATGGAAAATGCTTTTACCAGCTAGTGTTTCTAAATCTGTGTAATTTCAAGTTCCCATGCTTAAAAAGCTCTTCTGTAACCATTTAAATTATCCTTGTTTTGCCTGTTCCCATCAACTCTTGCTGCTGGCTCACAGCTGTGTAGCTGTGCACCTTCAGTATTTAACATAAATGTATTTTCGTGTTCAGATTCTGGAACTTAGTGCTGCTGCAAATCCTTTTTTTAAGCAAAGTCAGGAACCTTTTCCTTCAGCGACGTCACTTCCTTTTTGCAGCAAGAGGTGCTGTTTTGATGGATTAGCTAGGAGAGCCTAGTTAGAACAGTGATGACACATTTTTTTCTAATATATTTCTTTGTTTTAATGAAAATTTTAAGTTTAGACTTGTTACAATATAAAGGAAGATGCCCTTTAAAGCCTCCACCAACCTCCCTTCCATTAAACTAATGACTCATCTTATATTTAATATTTTACTGTATGTATGTTTGATATTATTATTGTTTAATTGGGCTTTTGTTCAGGAAGCCTTCTGGACGCCTCCTTTGTGGAAGTGCTTCAGGTATGACCCCAAGACCAACCCAGGACACACTAGAGGGATTACAGCATAAACTGGAAAAATCAATATGATGTAAAATTCCATTTTTTTCACTCATTAAACTTAAAGGATGAAACTATGGAAGGATCTGTGGGAGATAGAGTCAACTAGAGCAAGCTTCACCATTAAAGCGGTCTATAATGTCACGCCGACCCCCAGAAATCTTAACAAGTGGTATATGGAGAAGAGCATGCTCACTTTGCCTATACTCAAGCAGCCTGGTGGTTGCCAGACCAGTCTATCTCAGGGCTGTTACCCACAGCAGCATCAGGTGTTACAGTGCAAAACAGGAGGGCTGGAGAAGGAAAAGGTGAAAATCAATGCCCTACCCCTTCCCTTAACTCAGCGACCACCAGCGGTATTTATATGGGACGGAGAGTGTTATGCCCATGCATCATCCGTTACTAGGCGGGCGCTCTGGGCAGTTGGATGGTGTGCGAGACTGTTTTCAAGAGATATACCCTAAAGACTTTGCTTTCTACCCGAGACAGCATTTACCAGCCTGAGCCTGAAATTGTGCCTCTTAACACTGTTTACATCATCGAGCTCACTGTACCTCGGGTGGATGCAGCTGAGGAGGCTCAAGAAAGTGACATCTGCTGAACTTGCAGCAGAAGCACAATGTGGCTGTAAGAAGACAAATCATATAAGTCATTGGTTTCTAGTTTTGAATGTTTTTCTTATTTAGAAGGTCATGACCACATTTTTTGCTATTAGAATAAAACAAAACATAAATTTGGCTAATGTCCCCATTTCTACACATCATGTTGTCACGTTTTTGTGTTTGGAGCACATGGGCCTCTGTTGCACTGCAGACTAAATCTATAGACTTTAGATCGTAAAACATCTTCTCCAAAAGCAGAAACACACACACACACACGCACCACGCATGAAATTCCTTCTGCTGAAGGTCCTTTTGGGGGCTACGCAAAATGATTGAGAGGAACAAATATTTCAGCTATTTTCTCAAAACGTTATTCGTGGCAACGCATTTTGCCACGAGACCGTCTCAGCTGATGTGGGATGAATAAGACTTTTAGCTTTAGGTTTACCGATTAATTAATCCATTAAAGCTTTTCGATTGAAATGTAAAAAAACTACAGTAACGATGTAATAATAAAAATATAATAATAAAAATATAATAATAATAATAATAATAATAATAATAATAATAATAGCTAGAAAATGCCTGAAGACATTTTTAAAAGGAACCTGCCCGCTGGCCATGTGTTATAGAGGCCCAGTCACGATATTGGGGTCACGTCGGGGTGATCAACCCAAATTCATGAAATACTCTTTTCACGGGCGTGATGCAACATTCGTAGAGAGGCACGCTCAAGAGATAATTTCATTCTGAAGAACAGTAAGCCGCACAAGTGTGAGTTAGCACTGGCCTGGCAGATAGAGCCATGCACACAACCAAGTTTCAACGTTTTTTGCTCATAATTTAACCATGGTAAAGAGAAAAGCTTAGACTGGAACAGCACACCTCTCACGATCGAGTCGGTCGCTTTGATATAACATTTGTGCCGTTTGAGTCGCATTAACGTTCGCGGAAGAATAATATAATAATATAGAGAATATCTCCTCCGGTGCGTAAGGACCTTGCCTTGGCCTATGTGCCTTTATAATAATAATAATTAATAATAATAATATGTAATAATAATAATATTTATTAATAATAATAATAATAATAATAATAAGTAATAACCAATAACCAATTAATAACCAATCAGTCTAATAGTAATTTTTATTATTATTAGACTGATTGGTTTTCCTATAACCCAAGGCGTAACATCATTTAGAAATGTTACACTAATAACTCTCAAACTCTATTTAAGATTTTATTTTTAGTCTCTATTCCGTCTACTGAAGTTTTCCCTTTCCTGAAATTCCCAGAATTTTTTTTCTGAATAATGTCAAGATGATTTTAATTCAATAATAAAGGTTTAATTATTCTGTTGGATGTGTTGTCGTTCAGATAAGGTCACCAGGTTTAAGTAAACCACATGGAAGTGAAGCCGGTGTCTCCGTCGGAACGCGCGCAGCGCAAATCCTCAGTGCGGACTGGTCCCGTTTGCGCGTCTAACGGGTTGCACCAGATTAGTGATAAAAACCGCACCGCAATAAAAAGTGAGTGGGTTCAAACTCTGAGTCAAGCAGGTTACGGATAGGAATTTACCCAACACACGTTGTCCAACAATAAACATTCATATAAAAGCATAACGGCTACATCCGGTTCTGTTTGGGGTAAAGACTCAGACCGAGCATTTCTCATCCTCAGCTTTTAATAACACACAACAAAGCATGTCAGGTTCAGTTCAGCATATTTACATCATTTATACACACAAAACACAAATTCAACAGGCACAGGAAACCGAGTAGAAAAATAACCTTTAACGGAAACGTTTCCGTTAGACGGAGCCGGTCGGTAAACGGACACACAGCGAGGCACTGCAGCAGGAGGCCGACGCGTTAAACCAAAACCAGGTCAATAAATTAAACTTCTCCACACTTTCTCTGACTCATTATTGCTGTTTTCACGTAACTTTACATTTATTTACAGGAGTCATTTCTTTACAGGAGTCATTTATTTACAGGAGTCATTTCTTTACAGGAGTCCGTATGAAGTCCCAACAGTAGCGCGCATTCAAAATGAAAAGATGTGCGTGAGAGTGCACCAAAGTTCCGGTCTGTTCTGCTGGTTCTGTTTGATTGGCATGTTGACGTGACTGGTCGGGACCTACGAGCAGATCCCGCTGACACCACCGGGCGCGCGCCCCAGCACGGAGTTTACAGAGGAGGAGGAAGAGGAGGACACCGTGGAGGACTTCCGCTCCTTCTGCCGCAGGTGGATCTTAGTGTGCCTCTTCCTCTCGTCGCTCCGAGCGAACTTGCGGCCGCAGAAGTCGCAGGCGAACGGCTTCTCTCCCGTGTGCGTGCGGATGTGCGTGGTGAGATGGTCGCTGCGGCTGAAGTTGCGCATGCAGATTCGACACTGGAAGGGCTTGTGTCCAGTGTGGATCCGGATGTGTCTGGTCAGTTCATCAGAGCGGGAGAACCGCCGGTCGCAGCCCTCCGCCGGGCACGGGTACGGCCGCTCGTGGATGGGAGTTTTGCTCGGCCGGTTCGGGTACTTTCTTGGCCGCAGGATTGGTCTGAGGGGCAGGTTTTGTGGACTGTAGGCGGAGGGGAGTCTCGGTGGTCCTACTTCTGAGCCAGTTCCACCTGGACCCCCCAGCGTAAAGTTCCTGATAGTGTTCAGCGGGGTGAGGGGTGGCGGGACTCTGAACGTATCAAGGGGACATGGAACAAACGGCTTCCTGTCTTGGATAGTCGCCGTGTGTATGTCCAGCTGACAGGACGGCTGGAAGAATCCCGAGTAGTCGGGAATGATGGGAAACAGCCCCGGAGCGTCCGCGCTGCTGGGCTGTTTGGGTGAGCAGTAGGAGGGAGGAGGGTAGGAGGCTATCGGGCAGCTGGAGGTAGACAGAAACGCTGATGGGTCCTGGTACACCTCCCCGCAGCCAGAGGAGGTGTAAGGAGGCGGGGGGGAGTACAGGTGGCGGTGGTGGTCTATGTCTGCCTGACTCTGAGCCGCCATGGTGCAGCTCAGATTTCTGCTGAAGAAGGGATGAGGAGATTCTGATGAAGCCGGGGAGGAGGACGCCGATGAAGAGGGAGGCGGAGGAGGAGGAGGCGGCTGAGCCATGTTAAAGATGCCCGAAACGATGTTGATTACCCCCTCAGGGTTCCAGTTCCCGGGAGACTGGGAGTCGATGGAGAACTTCCCCATGTAGGTGAAGGTCTGGTTCACATGTGCTGCGGACTGGGAGAAGCCGCTGGAATAGGAGGACAGGTCCAAGGAGCGCTTCTCTGTGTCTGAACCCATCAGAGCATCTGTGGAGCAAAACAAGACATGAGTCCTTCAGCATGGAGCGCGTCTTTACGCATCGATCCTGCCACCCTGCGTCTTGGCCAGATCGTTGTAGTAAACGAGAAGAAGTTCTCATTCGACTCATCTGGTTAAATAAAATAAATGTCCCGCTCTTCCAGACAGAACCAGGAACGTTTACTGAAGGAGAGGCTGAAGCTTTGATCCTACCTGCTGCCACATTGGTCTGCTCGTAGTGCGCTCCCAGCTCGCTGTTGGGGAACACGGCGATTGAGGGCGGTAAGCCGGAGACGTCATCCACCGTGAAGACGCCGTCCGCCACCGGGTGCGCGAAGCCACCCAGATTCACTGGTACTTTTTCCAGAGCTTTAGCTGTCATCTTTCCTTTCCGTGTGCTGGGTTGCGTTCTGGACAGCCGAACCGGGTCACGGCTGCATGTTTCTGCGGGTCTCACTAAGAAGATGCGCCCCTCGCCCTCCGGTCACAAACTTTCACACCGAGTAACGGGAGCGGAGCCCACACGCTACTATGTATTTATCGGGAACTTTTTTGAATGCACCGCTACGTCATTATCCAAATATGGAGTGGGCGGGGCGAGCGGAGAGGCTGGTTGGCTGCGAGGCCCCATGATGACACACGCAGAGAGGGAACTACTTGACAATGGAGAGCCTGCTGCTCTACCGGAGATAAGACACTGTTTCCGGTACGGGTTCTGCAGAACCCGGGGCTCCAAACATCACACATGTTCTGCCATCAGTTTCTTCTCTTCTGGTCGTTTCTCCGTGTTGTCTGAAAACCAACTCTGCCATACAAGTAGAATCCGTTATAAAATAAACAAACAAAGAGAGAAAGAACGTCCCCTTCTCCATATTTGGTGTGTCGTTCCGGATTTGATAATCGGAAAATGACGAGTTCTACCGAGCGGAGACAGAAAGGTGTAACCACAGTCAAATGAGCCGGTCCGGAGCGGAATTTCTTCCTCCAGCCGCGATAGGCTGCGCGCTTCGGAAACTTCTGACAGCCTGATTTGACTATGCTCTAGGAAAGACTCGGTTCGGTTCACTAACAGCTATTTATAGCCGCTAGGAAAAAGGAAAGCTACATTTAGCTACAGAGGCAGGCCGGGTGATGGGCGGAGTCCAAAACACACGCGCACCAGACAGGAAGCGCGATCTGGTTCTGGTCCACACACCGGGTTCCGCGTGAGTCCCGTAATAACAGGTGGAAGGTGCTGTGATGGTCCTCAACACACACACAACACACACACACACACACACACACACACACACACACACACACACACACACACACACACACACACACACACACACACACACACACACACACACACACACATGCGCGCACACACACACAAACACACGCACATGCGCGCACGCACATGCGCGCACACGCACACAAACACACACACGCACACACACATGCGCGCACACGCACACACAAACACACGCACATGCGTCCACGCACACACACACACACGCACGCACATGCGCGCACGCACACACACACAGACGGTGTTTGATGGGGTAAAGTCCCTCTGTGGGTGAAGAGTGATAGACCGAAAACACTGGGTGGAATACATGTTCCATTTTGTCGGCGCACGCTTGTGTGTGTGTGTGCGTGTGTGTGTGTGTGTGTGTGTGTCTTGTCATCTAAATATAGACTAAGAAAAGTCAAATGTTCACTGATTAGGAAGCAGCAGCTTTCAGTAAAACCAGCCTGATCAATCTGACTTCTACCAGGTTCCGATAACATATCACCCATCCCAGTTAGCCAAAACTAGACTTTATCCCAGTTTAGGCTCAGTAACTTACTCACTAACAACCATAACAAATGAAAACTACATCATGTATTTACACACAACCACAAATGCAATGAACACTGGAATCTGAGTCAAATAAACACTGAAAATCTTTTGAAAAGCTATTTTATTGATGCCTGAAGCTGCTAACCAATGCTAACTCACTGAGTGATGAATCAACCTTATTTCTAATGAGTTATTCCCAACACACCTCCTTATCTGAAATAAAAAAGGAACAGGAAGGAGGACGAGATTTAAGCAGAAACTTTTAAAAGCTACAGGGATCTATGTCCAGTTTATCCTTTTAAAGACTGAAATGTGAAAAATGGCAATAATAAATGAATAATTAGTCAACATTTCATTCCACTGTAACAATATAACTCACTAAAGAAAGAGAAAGTTGTGACACTCGCCGACACGCGTGGTTCACGTTGCCCTGAATAGTTCCAAACAGCTCAGCGCTGCTAGCGGCGTTTGGCTGGACTGGACACTAAAACGGCCATTTCTCACATTTCTAGAGTGATTTCCTGGTGATTATTGACCATTACCAGTTTTACATTTTAGAGGGCAGCCAGACTGCAAACAGAACGTAGAAAACATGTAGGTTAATATAAGCATGATTGTATATAAACCCTAATAAGTCTTCATGTCTCGATGAAAATAGCTCTTTTAGCCCCGTCGACTTGCATTTGTTCTTCCAGGGACCCGTGAGCCGACCAGAGAGGGAGGAGACTTTAGTTTGCTTTAATGTGATCAAATAAAACACAATTTAAGACAGACTATGTCCTAACATCATCGTAGTTGATATTTCTGAACAAGAGTCAGACTTCTCATTATTTCCAACACGACATGATGGCAGCAAATGAACAACACAGGTGCCATTTTGTCTTCACAGCCTTTAGTGTCACGTCTTACAACCAGTGGAGGACTTGACTAATGAAACCATGAGGCTGAGTCTCATGCTCACACACAGCTTTCACATTTATCACAGTATAGCTGCCAATACGGTCTGTCAATGATAGCTCTACTCATTACTGTGCGTGTGTGTATGCATGTACGTGTGTGTGTGTGTGGGTGTGTGTGTATGCATGCATGAAATCTTCCTTCTGGAGTGAAATGAAAAGTTTTTTACTGTGTTAACCCTCTGGAGGCAGGCATTGCAGATGTGTAACGTTAAAACCTACCTGGTTCTTCCACCCGCGTACCTCATGAGCATTTTTAACTCAGAAGTTCCCCTGAAGGACTTAGTTGTTCGTCCTTTTATCAAAACTTACTTTGAGCCTGAGAGGGTTAAATAAAACAATGAAAGGTGCACCAGGTGTGATTGGTAACCAGGCAAGATGAAGGAGGGAGGTCTCAATTGTTTTATTAAATTCTTCTGCATTGCTGTGTTGTTATGCTCTCCTGGTGTACTATCACTCATTTAGAATTGTAATTAGCCAAACTTTGACTTTAGATAAGCAAAAAACAAATGGACATCAGAGGTGAGGTTTTAACATCATAGTCAGATGACATCAGGTAACAACAAAGCTAGACAACAGGCTATAACAACAGAACAAGACAACATCTAGTAACAACATAGATAACAACATCAGGGGGGTATTTCAGAAAGCGAGGTTTTCCCAAAACCAGGCTTTCTTGTGAGATTCCCGGTGTAATCGCCCCTAAATTGGTTCTACGAACGTGGCTAGCCTGAACGCCCTCCCATGTGGTAACACCTGCTGGAGAACAGACCTGCTCCGTGGTAGGTTGGCAGCTAGGCTTACTGATGCTTTGTGAATGGGAGTGGATGAGGCGAGTGACGTCACCTTTTTCTCGGGGGTGGCTGGCAGTTACGAGGTGGTGAATTAGCGACTTCGCTGGCCCACAGCGGTAGCAGCAGCTGCAGCGTTGTTCTTGATGGCTAAATTATGAATAAAAGTGGAGAGTAAACTTTTAAAATTGTGTTCTAATTGGATTTACATCTTAACAATTTTGTACTTAATCTTCATTTGCAGCCAGGAGTGTTTCAGTCCACTGATGTTGCCCCTGATGTCAGCAATATTAATAAGTATAGTTATATATCAGCTGTTGTCTGGGATGGACCCATATCATTAACATGCTGTCTAACCCTTTATGAATATGTTAAAATAGCCCTAAACTACCATACAGCTAACCCTAACCCTAACAAAATACTTATGTAAAAATACTTTATTGATGTGACTAAATATTTACTATATACAGTATTTACTGTGTTTGACACGTGTGACACGTGTCAAACTTGGTAATATTTGATTTAAATGACATACGTGATGTTTTGTCCTCGGTGTGTGATATATGTGCCAAATGTATGTTTGTAACGATTTCCAGCGTTAACTGTAGGGTCACGTGACCACCACGAATGTATATTCTTAAAAGTCACAGCTGCTCAGCAAAACCAAAGTCCTCCAGTCTCTAAACATCCAGACTCTGGAACAGAACATGAAAACAACACATAAGATGGAAACTTTAATAAAATATGTGGAGAAACAAGAGCCTCCCTAAATAGCACCAGCTACACAGCTTTATTCAATCAGATCACGGTCTCTATATCATTTCTGATGTGTTTGTAGTCCTAGTAGGCATGAATGAACAATTTTTGCTCTGTCTGGGTGAAGAACGAGGCTCATATCCTTTCATTCAATTCTCATTTAACTAGCATTGATTACTACGGGCTGCCTATGGGCGCGCCGTAGCCTAGCCTGCCGATCCTCGCTTGGATTAGAGGGGATTAAATCCACCTAAGAATAAGCGAAAGGGTCCCCCTTAGCTCCCCCGTACTTCAAACCCTGGGCTTGAGGATTGATCAGATACCCCCCGGTAACAACATCTAGTGACAGCATCTGATAACAACATCAAGTCACAATATATAATACCAACATTAAATAACAACTTCTGGTAACAACATCCAGTAATAACATGTAGTAACAACATCAGGTAACAGCACAGCTGGACAACAGGCTATAATGACAAAACAAGACAACATCAGGTAACAACATCAAGTAAAAACATCTAATAACAACACCAGGTAACATCATCATTTAAAAACATCAGGTAACAACATCAAGTTACAACATCAAGTAACAATCTCCAGTAGTAACATCTAGTAACACCACTTAACATCACAGTCAGACAACAGGCTATAATGACAGAACAAGACAACATCAGACAACAACATCAAGTTACAACATCAAGTTACAACATAAAGTAACAACGTCTGGCAACAATATCCAGTAATAACATGTAGTAACAACATCAGGTAACATTATCATATAACATCAGGTCGCAACATCAAGTAGCAACATCAGGTAACAACATCTTTGTAAACACATCAGGTATCAAGACAGCCATACAACAGGCTATAACAACAGAACAAGACGACATCACTTAACAACAACTAGTAACAGCATAAGGTAACAACATCAAGTAACAATCTCTAGTAATAACATCTAGTAACAACACTACGGAACATCACAGTCAGACAACAAGCTATAATGACAGAACAAGACAACATCAGGCAACAACATCAAGTTGTAACATCAAGTTACAACATCAAGTAACAACGTCTGGTAACAATATCCAGTAATAACATGTAGTAACAACATCAGGTGACATTATCATATAATATCAGGTCGCAACATCAAGTAGCAACATCAGGTAACAACATCTTTGTAAACACATCAGCTGA